AGAAGCAGCGCCCTGAAGACCAGCATATTTGCATTCGTGACTTGCATTTCGTGACTGCAAATGCTGCTCCATTTGCACTAGAGCTGGTCCCCTCAGACGCATCCCTTCCTATCAAGGGTGCCCAAGGCCAAAAAGCACCTGTGGTGTCATGGAATGATTAGTCTGCGAAATGCCACACGTCTCTTTTGTTGTTTTAAACACACGGGGCACTTTTTCTTTCTCCTTCCACGTTTTAATTAGCGTTTTCTTTGAAGGTAACTATGACAAGCTTAGAGCACTGTTACATGAACAATAAAGCTTTAAAAAAAGAAAGGAAAAAGAAAGGCCCTATCTTGTGCACCCTTTCTAACAATTGTCCTGTATCTTCTGCACCCCAGTTCACCCATCTCATTTGTACCACTCCTCTGGAATTTGCAGATTAACGCTCGTTAAGTCTGTCACAACATGAAAGTGTCCCGGGTACCTTTAAGGTAATAGCTTTATTACGGCATGAACTTTCATGGGCTTCCATTTGCAGTGACCCGTCCACTTCCCTCCTGGGCTCACAATTACACTTCAAGTCCTATTTTGTACCTCCTGGTAATCCCTAACATGGGAGTGTGCAAAGAGAAAGGCCAGTTGCTTAAGGTTTAACATCTCCCTTTTATTTCAGTTGGTTCAGAGTGAGGACTGGGGGGAGACTTGGATGTTAAAAAGTACGATTTCTTTTTGCAGGGAAGATGGACATTCTTCCCCCAAACTTGACTGTAAGTCAAATCCCTGAAATGCTAAACCAGTCTTGGTAATTTGTTCTGAATATATATGGATACTAGTATGGGCCCCGCCATTCTACTGATTAGGAGTCCTATTTGAACAGGAGTTTAAGTTCTAATTTAGAAGCCAGAAATGTGGGAAGTCAGGAAACAAGAGTGTGTAACAGCCAGTATGGCTGTTGTGTAGCATTTTGGATTGGCACTAGTCTCACATTCTAGTCCTCACTTAGCAGTGAAATTCACTGGATGACTTTGAGTCAGTCATGGACTCTCAGCCTTACCTACCTCACAAGGTTGTTGTTGTGAAGATAAAATGGAGAGAAGAACCACCACCATGGAAGCCACCTTGGATTCCTTACAAGAACTTAGGGACAGGTGAATAATGACCCTGCTGGCCTGATCCAGTTTGTAACTAATCCAGGTACACTGGACTCATTGTGAAACATTCTCTGGCCACTTGAAAGTTTGTTTATTTATTGGATTTTAACCTACCCCATTAGCCACAGTTAAGTCCTTTCCTGCAGGTGAATTACAATAAAATATTTTTCAACTCTTATGTACATATAACCAGTATCTATGTCTCATGATATTAAGATACTGCATATAAACTGTCACTTTGCTACACGCATGGAAATAATAAAGGACTCTGAGCACGTGGGTGCGTGATTCAAATTAGTAGCCACATCTGTGCCACTCTTTCTGTGTACTGATGTCTCCCTGCCCTTAATCTGTGGGAGTAGCTGCTGTGGGGAGGGCACAGATCAATAGATCCTGTTATACACCCAGCAAAACCATAAGGTATCTTTCTACCTGGTACTCTCCAAATGTTTTGGAGTTCAACTCCTATTGGTCCCAGCCAGCATGGCCAATGGTCAGAAAAGTTGCGACTTGTAATCCAAAACATCTGTGGGCCACTTGGCAAAAGATGGCTGTCATAATATATGCAGCGACACTGGATGCCTCAGAAAACTTTGGGCCCATTTCAGATTCTGAAGTGTTTTATTTCTTTTCCTTTTCCAAGGCAATGGGCTCTGGTATAATCACAATGGTACAGCAATAGAGCAAGTTGATTTTGAGAGAGAGAGAGAGGAGGTACTCATAAAGCAATGCCCAACCCAGGGTGACAATGAAAAACTAAATTAGAACAATGGATCCTACAGACCTAACCCCTGAAGTGGATTCCAGAGAGTGCCATTCCTGTCCTGCCCCCACATCTCCAAAACAAAGTCAAGGACACAGAATAAAAACTCAGAATAAGAGGGTATGTTTTGACTTCTCCAACTCAAATGTAAAGTGGATCCAGTTGTGGCCCAGTATGTGTGAACAAGGAAAAGGCAAGGCCTCTTAGTGTTAGCTACAGCAAGGATGGTGACCCTCCTGAAAGGGAATTACAGTCCCCATAATCATGCTGGCTGGGCTGTCAGGGAGTTGGAAGAGCAACAACATCTGAAATATCTCTGCCTGAATTACAGAAAGACAAGGGGCAGCAGACATGTAACAAAGGTACAGTTACAGACAGAGGCAAAAATTAGCCAGAACAGAACAATGACAACCTGCAACATGGACATAAATCTTAAGTCTAAACATGTATTATTTGGTGCAGTATTTGCAATTCTCAGTCAGTCTGGTTCTCATATGTTAACTATAAACGCCATGAGTTGGATCCAGAGTCTGCCTTCTGCAAGAGAAAGGGAACTTCCATAGGGAGAAGTTCTCTGCCCTCTGCCCATTTTTCAGGAATTCCCTTCCAACACACACACACAGCACAAATCATCGCATTCAGCAGAACCTCCTGACTCCCATATCACTTTGTTAGTGAACTGGAGAGGGTAATGGAGGGATGAGGAGTTGGGGAAATCCATTTCAATTGATCCAGGGTAGATCTGGACAGCTCTGCATTTTGAGCTGTAAATCACTAGAATTCAGTGGCCATGGCCTTTCAGGATGAAAGGCTCTGAACAGGTCTCTGACTTACGACATTTTATAAAGTATCACAAATTGCTTCCACTGTCCCATCAGATATTTTGCACTGATCATAATATCCACAAAGCATAAATAAGATGTACCTGTCTATACTTCAGAACCGTCCAGTGTGTACATCCAGAACTCAGGAATTCATAACCTTAGGCACAATCCTATGCAAGTTTAAGCAGCAAAAAGTTCTACAACTCCCAGCATTCCCCAGTCACATGCTAATCTTGATTTATTCTGATGTTACAATAGACCAGAGTAGGTTAGAAGTTGTTGCTGAGTATGTTTTCCAGAGATCTCAGCATCTTTTCATGTATGTAGGGCAATGGCATTTGCTGTTTAAAGGATAACTTACATAAGCAAAATGCGTAAGTATGAATATTCCATAAGAGTAATGAATTCTAAACCTGTAACAGCTACAGAGCTATTAGCCCTCCGTTAAGATTTCGTGTGGAGGCCCTGCAGTTCAGTGACGTGACACATAAGCTACAGCTTGCCTACATGTGTTGGTGCTTAGAGAAGACTTTAATCTGCAAATGCGGATTAACACTAAATACTCAAAAGAGCTTCAGGAAAATTTAAGTGACATGCAGGTTACTGGACATGCATAGCAGCCTTTTTTTAAGACAAGTATTTTTGATTTAAAAAAACACACATACTACATTAAACAAGGCTAGCTATCACTCTTTCTTCAGGGAGATTGCCCCATTTTGTGGTAAAACCACCAGAAATAGAAACCATCTGTGCCATATTCTTTCTTTTGCTGATCTTCGCCTAAGGGCTCATTTATAATACATTCTACCAGGGTTAATGCCCCATCAGTTCACAAGAAAATTGTTTTCTCTGCAAGACAATTATAATGGGCAGCAGAAAGATGGGCGGAACATTGAAGTCACTGGTACCTTACAACAGGAGCAACCATATTCAGTTTCAGAGGCTCCCACCAAAGGAGTGTGATACACAAAATCTCTGAAACTGAATATGGTTGCTCCTGTTGTAAGGTACCAGTGCATTTTAGCTTAAAGCTCTTACTGTTGGCAGCTTAGTATGAAAAAGTCATTTCAAGGCTTGAGAATGAGGCAAAAACTGCACAAAAGCCAGGAAATGACCAGCTAAAGAGGGATTGGGATTTCAGGAAAACTGGATTTTGCCTCCTGGATTTCACCTCTAGGGTGTTCCACCCTGTCTGACAAAATTGATCAGTGCAACAGGTGCTGCAAATCCTCTTTTGACAGATCCACATTTCTCAGTCTAATCCCACAATATTTTTGTGAACCTTTGAGATATTTTGGACTACAACTCCCAGCAATCCTCACATGCTAGACCAGCCTGCTAGGATGCTGAATATCAAAACTTCTGAGTACACCAAGTAGGAAAAGCTGGACTAGATTTCAGGTTGTTATGGCTTTCTGAGTTTGCTCCCTTCTTGGTAATTACCTTGCTATCCAGGAGAAGGAACAATTCTAACCGTTATTTTTCCTACTCTTTTGTGGCCAGAAACCTAATCGACTGTGATCTTCTTATTTTATCAGACTTCTAATTACACACTGGATCTTTACCCCTTACCACCACTATTCAAGCAATGATGGCTCTTTTCATTGACTAGGTCATATATCTGGTGAAAAAACTACAACTTTTGTATCTACAACTATGTCTTGTCCTTTATCCTGACCATGTAAGCCATACCCATAATTATGGGTTATCGGAGTATTTTTTTTCAAAGATAAAAAAAGATACCATGTTCTCAGATAATTAGGCAAAGAATCCATACATGAAATATACTTTCTACAAACTAAGTTTTAGCTGTTAAGTGTTAATTCTGAGATTAACATTAACTTCCAAAAATGTTACCATGAATCAAAGAATTTCAATTTTATTACACAGTCTTTATGCAGTCAGTTCCAGGGGAAAATACCTCATGTTTTAGCTGAGTTTTAAATTTTATCTTGCGGCAGACAGATACTTTAGAGATTAAGAAAAAACAAACACAGCAATAAAAACCACCCTACAGGCTCAGAGAACATGCAACACTCAGATGCACAATTCTTTTAATGCAAGAGAGCAAAAAGAGCAGAAAATGCTTGCTAGAAAAAGGGGTGCATTAGCTCCTCCCACTACACTCAGACCCAGAGGTTTTTTACCATCAAATGCATTTTTAAGTCTCAGTGACTTGATGTACAACCTAAAGCCTGTGGTTCTTTCAAAAGGTGCACATTTGCCAACTCCAGAAAAGAATTTAGTGTTATCTAAAATAAAGAGTTCATAAAATGACGCAAGTCACTTGTAAACTGAATTTATTTATTCCAAACATCACATATACATTTCCCCATGAAAATTCCAACTATACATGAAATGAACATTGCAGCAATATTTTCTTTAAAAAAAAGGTTTGGCTTTATTTATGCAACAAGAAGTGCCAAACATGGTTGTAACACATACCTGTCTTTTGTTTTACTAAGTACAAAAAGGTGCAGGTTAATAATTTATATTTATACATATATATACATACACCCACGCATGTGGGCACACCCCCCCCCACACACTTTTCAACTTGTTTTAAAATGTAAGGATTTTGTTTCAAGTTTTATCTACATAAAATACACTTAAAAAACAAAACATAACTGGTCATACGCTCCAGATCTGGTTTTTGCAGTACTTTGTTGATACAATCATTCCAGAGCTGCAAAATTAAGGCGCTACCAAACATGAGGCCTTCAAGTTAGCGAGGCACTGTATGACTAACGCATACAGCTTTCTGAATACCTTTGCCATTTATTTTATTTGAAAATTAATTGCAGCACAAGCCGTAGGAACAGAAATCTGCTGATTATCAGCTCACTAGAGTCACAAAGCAGTCTCAGTGACTGAAAAGAAGGATGTTTAAAAGCAGTAGATAAAAGGCCACAGTAGCAAACTGGCATTGTTTGTAAAACTGAAGTGATTGAACTTCACCTGCAAAATCTATTTATTATTTGGAGACCTTATACACTAGGCCGACAGCTTTTGCATGTTTTTTGATGGAAGAAGCTGAGATGCCTTCTCCCTGTTAGACTCAAAAAAGAGGTATTGAACCATTTTTCTGCAAAGCTTTTCGAAGTACATCCTAATCCCCCATTCTCAGTATCACAAAAGCAATCTGCATAAGAGAAAGAGGTTTGAAAATTCTGGCTTTTGTCATATACTTTAATGTACCTGCTCACTTGTTAGACTAGGCATGTTAAAAGAGCAGAAAACCTGACCTTTAAAGCATAAGGGCTAGACTAAGAGAAGTCCTCCTTTGAAAACTGAAAACAGGTCATCAGATATGAATCTCAGAGATACTGTAGAGCAGGGGTGGGTAACTGCTCACTGCTGGCTATGCTGACTATGGCAAACAGGAATTATTTCCAGGCCCAAACGTTTGGACAGCCACAAGTTGCCCACCCACTACAGAGAACAGACTCTAACAACGAACAGTGCTGAAACATTTAGTGGGACAAAATCGTTTCTTATTTATGCTTAATAGCTATGTTATTTTAGCTATTAAGAGGAAAAAACACACAGAAAAAGACAAAGACCGAGAAAACATTAGGTACACTCAAAATCTGCAAGAGGAATACCAAGCAAGCACAGACAAGGGTACTGTGAGAAAGGATGAAGGTGGTCCAAGTTCCCTGCCAAAATTAATGAGGGTGCATTTTGAAGAATCTCTTACTAGATAACCTTGGAAGCTGTTAAAGTACAGTGAGTTAACAGGAAGACGGCTGTGTTGGGAAAAGGATGATAGCACCCAGGGAACAAGATATTCCAAAGGCTTCCCTCTCTCTGGCATTTATGCCATCTTTCGGAAAATACTTGAAGAAAAAACATATTATCTACCAACTCTGGTAGAGGGACTGCAGGAAGGCTATGAAAGAAATCATTAGTTCACCTGTTACAAGTTATGCAGTTTACAATTAAAAGAGTAGTCATGGGTCATTACTTAACTACAAAAGGTGAATTCAAGGTTGAGGCAACTACAGTACATTCAGGGTGTGTTGATCAGTTCCTAGGAAACGACTGCTGGCAACTTCTGACAAGTAGTTCAGACAATCATCTAACACCACTCAGGCCACAATTACTACTACTAAATAGTAAAGTCAATCTTTTTTAGATGACATTTCTTCCTTAATTCATGTGCAAGTGTTTACACCTGTGTCTAAAGAGGGCACACTTTTTCTAATTTAAAAAGGAGGCACTTTTGAAGTATTTTGGTATTGCCACTACTTTCATTTTGCCAGATTATTTGCACATGAACCAGCATCTTTCAGTTTCCTTCTGTTTGTGCAACTTTCTGAGATCTGAACTAGTGTCATTCCCCCCGCCCACCCCAATAGGATAATTATTTCTACATGTCTGGAGATCTCAGCAGTTTGTATTAGCAACACTGTTTTGCTATTTCATGCTTACTGTCAAAGTTTCCAATAGGCTGATCATATTTTAAAAATTAACAACAGGTACTAAGACATAAAAATACAGATATATTTACAAAACCAACAACAAATTGAAAGTTAACACCTGGTTTAAGCTTGCATTGAAATTTGCCTTTACAGGGTTCAATTTGTGCCTCCTCTCATGTTTGTCACCAAGGACAAAGACTCCAAGCACAGACAGTGGTCGGTACATAACGAGGAATATTAAAGTTTTGGTTTTAAAAATGTGCTAACAAACATTGTTCCAGTATAACAGGTTAGGCTGGCATGGCAGTTGTGAGCAGAGGTGAAAACTGTATCTTACCTTGTTTTTCAGAATTAACATGAAAGATATTTTGAAGTGGCAATTCTGTATCACAACAGCCTTTAGTAATCTAACCACAGAATAGCTTGAAATGAACCAGAGTTTTGCAACACAGGTCAACATGCTCAAGTGTCCCAATGGCAAAGAAAAGCTACTATGTACACACAATACCATCTGCCATGGGAGGGTATTGGATCCTTATGTGCACACAGCTCTAGGATACAACCACAAAAGATCGGGCTGTCCATAGGTAACTTTTCCCATAGTAATGCAAGTTGTCTGAGGTTATTCTGATTTTTTGTAGGGGAGGAGAGACACACCCTATTTTCCTAGATATATTTTGAAATATTCTTCCCATTACACACAACATGCAAATTACAAACACAAGAAACTGATTTCTTATCAGCCACAGTGCTGTTCACCAGCTATTCTTTTGGACACAAAAGGGAAACTTTTTGTCCAGGAAAACCCATTTTGCTTCACAGATTAGTATTTTTGTCAACATGCTGCAGTTAAAAGATTGTCCCATCCATCAGTACCTGTGGTCTTTTGTGGATTCTTCTTTTAGAGAATAAATTTTCCTTCAAACAACTACTTCTAAAGAATATTCCAATAATTCATATTCTCAGTTTCTAAGCCACCTCTCCAAGTTCTGTTTCCTTGCTACAATAAAAGTAAACACCTCAGTTGGGGCATTGGGGATTTTTAAGGGCTACTGTCTCCTCCTGATAAACAGAAAGTTGTTTGCAAGCAATAATTCCACATTGCTTCCTGCAACTACTAGCAGCTATGTTGCAATTGTAGCAAACTTCCAAGAGGCTCAGATTTCTCCAGGACAATAGGCACAGAATAGTTGGTTAACTACTGGGTAAAGTGTGTGCAAAGAATGATGAATGCTTAGATGAGATCAGTGTCATTAAAAGGGAAGAATTGTTTAGTCTCCAACTTCATTCTTATGAGCATTTGCAACCAGTTGTCTTCGGCATCTGTTCACAAATAAGGTTGTGTCATCTGGGTCTTTTGCGTGTCACAAATATTAATACACGCCGTATAGCAATAAGTCGATCTTTGAGTGAAGTCATGGCAAGAATGGCCAATTGCGCCCTGTTCTCCAGCGGCAATACTGCCAATAACCACCAATACCAAGCTGGACCGCTGGGATTACTCTGAAAAGGAAAAAAAAAACAATATCTCTATGTATGTTTTTAATGGAAAAACAAAGGAAAATAAATGAAAATATCCTTGTTTTATAGGATGATCTTAAGGTGAGCACTTGGTTCTATGCCAGAAGGCAAAGGCTGTAAGTAGACCTGTGCACCCCAAGGTACTTCGGAACAAAATATAAAGATTACAACAGGAAGATCATTCTAAACAAAAGCAAAACATTGTCTTTTTAAAAACTTTTCTGATCTGATACTAACTCAATCTCTAAATCAGAGAAGAAATTATATCATCTACAAATAATGGAACCCCAGTAGAAACAGACAAAAGCATTCAAGCTTTGTTTAGACTACACTATGCCAGTAAATGTTGGTATGTTGTAATACAAAATGATCTGGGTCAAGACTTCATTCTTTCAAAGGGCTGAATGATGACCTAAGTCCCATCAAGTTGTCACTTCATGTGAGATTCCATGTATTTGTCATCACAGAAATGGGCAATCTTTCATAACTGGTGCTCTCCATACAAGAGGAGAAGGGATGTTTGTGCTGTATTATCCTTCCCTTAATTGAAATTGTTTCTGGCTTTGAGCAATTTTGAACAACAAAAGCTGGTATAGGAACACAATGACCTTTCCATGAAGATTTGCTGCCTTTTAAATTTCTAGAAATGCTTTTTGCTCAACCCAGTATTGGGTATACCTACTATCCAGGATATTTCAAGTCACAGACCAAGTGCTGAAGTAAGATCTATGTTACTGCTTTGACACAGTGTTCTAGCTTGGTGATAAATCCATAATTTCACCATGTTCTGCTATGTAACTATGGTTATAGTCTTACAAATGGAAAAATAAAAACAGACCAGGCTGAAGCACAGAGATTTTGCCAAAATACCTACTTTAGTCTGTGTGAGCAAGACTAAACTATGACTCAAAATGATTTGCACAGCCTTAAATGTAAATTTTTTGGTGCTAACAAGTGATTGAACCGGATTAGTCAGTTCTGGTGTTTCATGGCTGGCTGGTGTCTTTTTTTTGTAAACTATAGAGACAAATGAGAACAGAATACAATTTACTGTAGCAGTTACAAGTTTTTCCCCCAGGAAGAGAGTAGAGCATCTTTTTAAAAAACACGTCAAAATGTGGGCTACAGATAGCACTTCCCTTTATTTTACAGCAACACTGCAGTGCCCTGAAATTCTGGTCAACTCAGGGCTGGGTGCCCATTATGTGCAAGTGAATGGAGGGAAAACAGCTACACAGCAGCATGCAAGTCTGAAAATGGCTGCTGGGATGCATTAGGACTCCTGATGCTTCTGTATTCCAAATTCTCTTCCCCCAGAGCAACTTTATGCATGCTCTGGATAAACAGGAACAGGAAGGTTTATCTAGATTTAACCTCCTCTCTTGACAGGCTGAGATCCCTTTCTTGGCTTCCAAAGAGTCTCCTTGATGAAATGGAAAAGCAGAGGCCATTCTTCATCCCAGCAGAGTTTGCAATCTCCCAAGTGGGAGAGGTGGACAGGGATACTAGCGGGGGGGCAAAGCAATTCTGGGTGCATGGCTGCCTCTAGGAAAATAAGAATAAAACTTCCTCCACTTCCTCAGCAATCCCGGTGCAGATCACTGGAGATGGGGGAGTTAAACCTCCCACTCCCAGTGATCTGAATTAAGATTGCTATCTCCATGCTGCTAATGGCATGTGGGAATAGCATTTTTTCCACCACTGCTCAGTTGATAGCAGCTCACTTGGACATCAGAGAAAAACATGCTGGTTTCCCAAAGGCTCAGTGGAACACAGAGAGCACCAGACTGGAGGTACAGCTACCTGCATTTCAGGAAAAAACTGGCCTAAGGGAAGCAGTTCTCAGAGACCCTATTTCCATGAGCCTTCTCTATTTTCCCCATCCGTCCAGGTAATTCCCCACCTGTCCCAAAACCTGCTCCTCTTCCCATACTCACCAGTCAATGGGTGACACGTACGTGGGCTATGCGTCCAAGAAAAAGCATATTCCCTCAGGTGCATCTCCCTTGCTTTCCTAGATGCCCTAACATGTAAATACCCCTTAAAAGCAGACTTGTAAAGTAGTATTTACCTGTGGCTCATGTTCTTTCCCGGGCATTGGCCCAAAGTGGTTTAGAATTTGCGCTTTCATATTGTCTTTAAGAGAAGTAAACCAGGCAACAGCTTGATCATAGACTGAATCATGAAGGCGGACAAGTTCTTCATACTCTGCCCCTTCAACCTGGACAATGGATGAAAATGAATTCAACGTGGGGTTTCTCATATGGAGAGCAGGCATGATGAAAACAGTGCAATAATTACTGAAGTGTCACTTAACAGGACACTCTGGGTTGCTTATGGATTAAATAATCCAGAGTTAACCTACTGCTTGTTGTTAGGTAAACTCTTCTTGTTTTGTTGTTTTGTTTTGTTTTTTGACAATGTGCTAACAAGCTATGAATGTGGCATTCATATGCACATCACAAGTGACTCTGTGCAGCATGCACCCTGGCAAATCATGGCTTAATTATTCTTTACTTAATTAGCCCATAATTTGATGCTATGATGTATAAGCTGGCCCCATGTGTGCATGCTGCACAGGATGTTTAGTTTTCCCTTTGAAAAGAGTAAAGCAGAACTAGGCATCCTGAGCTGTAAAACCATATTCTGTTCCATTGCTGGGATCTCCGGACTCAACTGTTTGGTCCCTCTGGAATTATTTAAAAGGGAACCCTCTTAGCCAAGGCCTGCTGGCACAGAGTATTTCATTTGTGCTAGAGACTTGTGCTAGCAATCAATATTTCATCTCAATATCTCTTGTTATCTCCCCTCACAGATCCTTCCAGCACAGCAATGGTTTCTAGGAACACAATCCATCTGCAGCAGCTACACCTCTAACACAGCCAGGCACATTTACTCAGTAGGGTATTATTCTTAAGAGGGATCAAACACCATCCTCTCAATGAGGCTTCTGCATTAAATAGATTTCACTGCATTTAAACAGGACAGTCATTCACAAGCGCAACACTCTTATGGAAGGGAAGAGCAAGAGCGTTCAAGCAAGTAAATCCAATGTAAAGGCACAATTTCATATGCACCTGCCTCAAGCGGGAACCTTTTAAATTACTTCATGTATGATGGGAGCATCTGCCTAAATAGTAACATGAGTGCCAAACTGTCATCTTGGAATAGAGCAGCCTTTTTTCAAGCTCATGCCACCCAGATGTGTTTACTACAACTCCCATCAACCAACCATTGGACTTGCTCAATGGAGTTGATGGAGACTGCAGTCAAATATATCTGGAGGGCATCAGGTTGCAGAAAGTTAAAATAAAATAAAAGTTGAAAGAGCTGAATGTGTGAAAGTTAAACTGGGGACAACCTGATTCTGAGAGGGACCAGCGGCTTTATCTTGTTATTTTGAACATTATCCAAGCTTAGACTTCTCATAGATTTAGAAATGCATTATACTTCTCCTCTGCTGCATCTAAGAAGGTGTGTATGTGTGGAGAGGGGCAGCGCTAATTTGAACTAACATCTGGCAGATTAATAAACAGTAATACTGTGTATCTCTAACTACCTGATACATTGGTGGTCTGCATAATCTGCATAATTGTGAGGAAATTCTTACCATGCTTTCCACAGAAGCAATACAGAGGTAGAAAGGTTTTTTCTATTCAATGTTGTCAGAACACTAATGCAAACTAACACTAGCACAATGTAATTGGTACTTGCTTGGTAATGGGAACAGACTCCAATTTGTTCCTAAATTTCAGCAACAGGGTAGTGTTTCTTCCCTTTTTCTAGCAAGCAGTAATGACTTCGTACTGGCATTAGTTTATGCTGTTGCAACATCATTAGGATGAGTGCAGTGACAGCACTGAATTACTACCCAAAAAGCTTGCCAAGCAATTACTAGCAGTATGTGACAAGTTACCACTTGGTAAATAGTTATCTGTAAATTGGCAGTGTCCATGATTGATGTAGAAGTGGGAAGGAGGATGAATATGAAGGCAAATCATGATAAAACACCCTTACAGGATTAACTGAAATCCAAGTATATTTTAATTCACTGAACTATGTTTTGCTATTGAAGAAACTGAATGCAAAATTAACAGGATTAAAAGACAGTGTCCAAAGCTTGCTTGAGGAACATGTGATCTGATGGCGCTTTCTAATGCTCTCTTATCAGTCTAAAGAAGAGAACCACTGACACTCACTTTAAGATGCCTGATAAATTAGAAATGCCATTCTAAATATTTGCCCTCTAAATACCTCAGGTTATACATATACACACCACCAATTTTAGCCAAGTGTCCACTTCATATTTGAGGAGAGGGGCCCTGCTACATTAAACTTTCTTACTTGATATTTTGTTTTGCAACAAACAATGTCTGAGGAACTCAGAATGCTACATAATTAACATTGTAAACTTCTCCAAGTAGTGACCGTGAAGCTTGGTATTGCCAAGAGTTAAAGGCAAGGTTTTGATTCAAAATCCTCAAATATTAAGTTACCAGTGTTGAGTTGGTGAAGTTGTGAGGAGGAGGAAAGAGGCATAATGGGACACAGAAGGGAAGGAGAAAAACATACAAATTCAAGAGGGTTGTCAGGTAGTGAATCAAACAAAAGCTAATATAATTTATTTTATAGCTGATGAAACAACAAAATTATATACTTGGAAGTCATATTAAGAAAAAGGTCTTACAAAACTACACAAAAACTTACCTTTTTATCTTCTAAATATTCAATGTTTGCTGTATTATATCCATCCCGTTGACCATGGCTCAAGACCCTGAAACGCCGAACACCAACTGTATCAACAACTGAGCGGCCATCGGGGAAAAACTTCACATCCCTGACTTCTAGCATGCAGCCATAGTCAGCAAACCTGATAGGGCAAAAAGAAAATGAGCCATCTTAAGACTGCAGTTCTAAGTACACTTAAGGAATAGGACTCGCTGCTGACTTCTACATACCACATTTAGAACCTAATTCAAAATGCTTTTTACAGGAATTACGTGCATAACTGATAGGAATACTGCAGAAATCTACAATGGATTCAATTAAGTTTGGATTTCTATGAATCCAACCTGCAGATTCTGTAGCAGTTCTGCTTTTGCTGAGTCATGAGAAATTTGTGGATTTGCAGACTGGTTTTTCACTTTTGGAAGTGAAAAAGAGTCTGTAACAGTGCTAATGTGTACTCATGCACTAGTGCTAATGCACACTTATGCATACTTGCACTATTTAAGGTGAATTAGTAGAAAAAAAAATTCTGGAAAAAAAATCAGATTCTACCAACAAGGGAACAACAGAAAGAAAACACTTGACAAGCTACACAACTCTGAACAGAGTGGTTTTAACAAAATGATATCACAAGGTAACAGATAAGTGACATGTGGAAATATATAATGCCTGTCCCAGTATTGTGGAAAGCTACACAGTAGTGCTTGTGTCCTAAGGCTGTATGTCCAGACAGGAAGATCTTTCCTTAAGTACTGTACATCTCCCTATGAGATTATAGAAGGAATTTCATGACATCTGCATGTCACTGGTAGGCCAACTGCTTCTGAATTTTTCAAATGATCAATGTGGCCCAGCAAATTGGGTTGGAAAAATCTGAGACAGTAACACTGAATTCATCTGCCTGTGGATGAACATTACAAAAATATAGTACCAAAGGAAATAAATAAATGCAAATAAATAAATAAAATAGCAATTTAAAAACTTCAAATGATAACACACATTTATACACAAATCTGCAACAGCTCATCTCCTTTGCAATCCAATTGCGACTCATTTTCTGTGATGCTACTACACAGTTAGTGACATTGTCTGTGACGAAGTGCCAAGTCAGAGAACAATGTCAGCTGAAGGCCATTATTATTATTATTACTGCTGTATTGTATTACATTTAGCAAGGAATTTAACAAGGTACCCAAAGCACTTACATAATTCTTCTCTTTTCCATTTTATTCTCACAACAACCTCGTAAGGTAGGTGAGGTGACAGTCAGTGCCTGGTCCAAAGTCACCAAGTGACTGTCATGGTTGAATGGGAACAAAACCCATTCTTAAAGCAAATCTTCTTTAAGAAATTCAACATTTACAGGTTTAATTCCAAACCTTTGCTTACCCTTTCAGTTCATCAGCTAAGCACATGCCAAATTGTTTAGTACCAGTTTCCATGCATCTTCTTATCATTAAACGATAGCGGGGTTCAAAGACATGAAGAGGGCAAGGGATGGTAGGGAAAGCCATGGTACATACAAAGATGGGAACATCTTGATTCAAACTGTAAGAGAATAAAGAATCAGCATTAGCATCTGCAAAAGTCAATGAAATCCACATTTGAAATTTGCATGAAGTTCTACCCACCCACACTCTTTTTAGGCCGTCTCTCTATTAATGATATATCCCTTGAGTCACACTACAGTAGCCTACTATAAAGGCAGAAGTAAGGTAATCCAGAGTTCATGCAAAACAGCTTTCCAAAAATACCAGTAAACCATCTATTATTTATTTAATTGCAGTATTTTTATCCCTTTTCTCAGCCAGAAGGGTTCCTAGAGCATCTTTCATATAATCAGTAAACAAGACAATCCTGTCTACCGGCTTATAATCTAAAAATCAAACCACAAACTTTTTAGCTACAGCAACTTTAATATATGCGACTGCAGCCGGAATTATAGAATCTGCTGGCCTCAGGCTTGCCCTCCAGTGGATCCTCAATAATGGATTTAAAGTGTACTCATTCCAATCACTGGGCCACAAAAGAGTTCTGTATTGTTATTTTTCATCAGTACCTCCCTAGTTTGAAAGCAGGTAATCAAAAAAGTCATGACACTGAAATAAAAAGGAATGTGGTGGGGGGGATTAGCTATTTTAAGAGGGTTGGCAGAGCTGTTCAGCTTCTGCTTTTCTTTTCCTCAGCTTAGCCTGCTGAAGCAATAGCCCTACTTAGACAAGTTACATTCTATCATATGTGATTACTGTCACGGTAATTACTAATTGGGGAAGAGGGGAAATTTTTCAATGTAAAATTTGAAAATTCACGAGCCTCCAGATTCTACAACCATAATTTTATTTCTCCCAAATGTCTAATATGTGTAAGTACCACTCCCCATCAATATAGCCAATGTCCACATATATAGAGGTTACAATCCAGACAGTGCTTCTAGACAGGGTCTGCATGAGGGGCTCTTGTGTGAAGCAGGCCCTTGCCAAATCTCAAAATAGCCAAGGATAATGTTCTGTTGTTCTGTGTAGAGGTTTCCATACCACATATGTAGATAAAATGTATGAAGGGGAAGTGGACCACATCCACTGGCTCATCTATCAAACTCTGTACATTTGGTTCACTCAATCAGGTAGGCACCTCTTTCAGACCTTCCATCAAATGCCTAACAGACAAGACTAGTGAACACGGTCCCCCTTCCACACCATACTTGCAGTGAATGCATGGAGAACAGAAATATGTGAAGAGTTCTTAGGTAAAATGATCCAAATCAGCTAATTCTTTGATTAAAAACTATACTCAATTAAGACATGCTGGAATTGGATGATTCATTCAAGAAGTCAGCTCCAAGTAAACATGAGGAAATGTTTTGCTTACATCATCCAGTTAAATATAATCAGTATCTTCTTGTGGTAGGAAGACTACTTACTTTGATAATTCCTTCATTTCTTCTTCATAAACTTTCTTCCTTTCAGACAATTCTTCTGGCAAGTACCGAACTATTAATTCTTCAGTAAGGACGGTTTTCTTATAAGTTCGGCTTGCTAAAAACTATGAAAGACAGAGTTCAAAAACTTAGATTGTTTATTCTGTATCAGTGGTCTGCAACCAGGCTAGTTTGGAGGCAGAATGCAGGGATGGTGTATGGGTAAGCCAAATCTCCCCAGGCTTTAAGGAGCATGGGTGCATTCATATTTCACCCCAATCCACCCCAGCAATAAGTCACAGTGGTTTGGTTGTTCAACAACCTACAGTGTACCCAACAGATGACTGAGCTCACTGTGGGTTGCTGGCTCCCTCTTACCTCAATCCCCCTCAATCTTCCCAAGAGTATCACAGAAGACACTGCAGCAGAATGAGCATTTTCCCCCACTCCTTGCTATGATCATGAGCTATTTTCAGGCAGTCATGGCTTTGTTCCCCTTCATCCCTTTTCCCCTGAGATTGTGAAAACTGACTTGACAGCCAGCTTTTGTAATCTCTGTTTAGAGAGACCCCTTCAAGTGCCCAAATAGCACCTTGGAACATCGGTCAGACCAATTTTAATTATTTCATTCTTTAACAGTCCAAATAGCTTGAGTATGTCTTACTGAAAAACTGCAGAGGTTTGCGCTGTGTGCATACAGTAATTTCAATAATTAGCCAGGACAAAGTCCTAGAGGACAGCTACTGCCAAGGTATTGTAAATACTAAACCTAGACAACATCCTCAAAAGCTATAGACAGTGCCCCCACCCCATTTCTTTCTCCTGACAGCTGTTAAAAGGTGAGCTGTCAAGGAAAACAAAGGGGCTAATGAGCTTTGCTCATGAAAAGGAGGTGGTGTGATTGACATCCCATTCATGGCAAGGTCCTCTCCTGACAGCAATCAAGGTAATGCATTTTTTGCATTCTTTCCCAGGACTCTAGCTGCCTGGGAAAGCGCAAAAGTGCATCTCATTCCACAACTAGCTATACCAGTCCCAAAACACGTGCCCTTTTAAGAGGGACAGGAAAAGCAGGAGATGAGCTGCATTTCTGCACTTTTCTGAGGCGCTAGCATCAGAGCAAACATACAAATAAATTTATGCTGGCTTACTTTCAGACCAACTCTTAATTCCTGTCTGATTGAAAGCTTGTGCCTCTGAACACTGGCAACAAGTGCAGTCTTCTTCACATTGTTTGCAGAGAACACACTTTGGGAGTTTCTCCCACTGGAAGAGACCTATCCCTGCACTACCCACTCCCCCCATTTTACTACCTGGTGAAAAAACAATATACTTTCAGTTTGCTATAGGCAAAACAAAAATTAAATTTGCATCTCACAGCTACATCTTTTTTTCATTGAGTTCAGATATATGAGAATTTCATTTCCATTAGCTTAACATCAGAATGTTCTGCATTTTTCATTTTTTGGGAAAAGGTCACATAGAATCATAGAAAAGAAGAGTTGGAAGGGCCCATGAAAGCCACCGGGTCCAACCCCTGCTGTTGCAGGACACTAATTTACACCACCCCACTAAGATGACTGTCCATTTTATTTTTCAATGTCTCTATTGTGTGAGAGTCCACAACCTCTCTAGGCAATTGGTTCCACTGTTATATTGCTATGACAGTGAAGAAACATTTCCTGATATCTAGCCTGAATCTGGGTTGTCACAACTTGACTTGATTATTCTCCGTCCTACACTCTGGTATCAGCAAGAAGATACCTTGATCTTCCCTCTTTGTGACAGCCTTTCAGATATTATTGAGGGATCTCATGCCCTCTACCCCCCACTCCATCTTCTCAAGGCTGAACATGCCCAGTTCTCTCAGTCTCTCCTCATAGGGCAGTGTTTCCAAACCCTGGATCATTTTTGTTGTCCTCCTCTACTAGACCCTTTCTAATTTATCTGCATCTTTCTTAAACTGGTGCCCAGAACTGGACATAGTATTCTAGATGGGGTCTGACAAGTGAGGAGTATAAGGGAACTACTACTTCTCATGATTTGGAAATAATACTTCCATTAATGCATCCCAAAATAGCATTTGCCACTTCAGCAGCTGCATCGCATTGCTGGCTTCTATTTAGCCTGTTATCTACAATAACTCTGAGGTATTTTTCTTTTAAGTTCTATTGAGCCACATATTCCCTGTCTTGTATCAATGAATTTGGCTTCTTTTTCCTAGAAGAGGACTTGGCACTTGTCCTTACTGAATCTCATTCTGTTGCTTTCAGCCCAGATTCAAGTTTATCAAGATCGCCCTGCATCTTCATTTTGTCTTCTAGGGGGTTTGCTATTCCACCAAGTTTTATATTGTCTGCAAATTATCTTTCCTTGTACTTCCCTCAGCTAAATCATAATAAATAAAGATGTTGAAAAGCACCTGGGCCCAGGACTGAATCCTGCAGCACCCCACTAGTTCGCTTCCTCCCGTTTTAGAAGGTGCTGTTGATGAGCACCTAATAATTTTCCTATCTAGTCCAGTTTTCCTTTCTATATTTCTTGAACAGATTGTATCCATCAATAGTAGAGTTCCAGTCATCTGGAGTCAACAAACTTGGAATTATCCCACCAAGTTTCAGTAATTCCTATAAGATCATAATTGCCTTCATGTACTATGAGCTCAAGTTTGTGTTGTTTCCCATAATGTGGTCATTGGTGTAGTGACACTGAAGTTCATTCTCATTGTGCCCTGGGTTTTCTTCCTAGTTTTTTGGGAGACTGTTGTTGGGCCAAGCTTGAGGTTTTTTTCCCTATATTGCTGAACATTTACTGAGCCTGTGAACCCAAAATGCATTTGTCTGAAAAATATGCACTTTTAAAATATGCATTTTGAGGGGAAAAACAGTCTTATCAATGCTGGTGAAGTATGTACCTCGGTGTACACTTTAAAACATGTGCATCTATACACACACTTCTCCTGTTTGGACCAAAAATGTTTGCATTCAGGACCAAAACATGACTACATGAGCTTACAGGCTGAACTTGGAGAATCTCAACAAGCTTGAATTCTCTCATTCCTACTCTAGAGTACATACAGGGGGCTAAGAGTCCATTATTCCCAAACTAGGATCCCAATCTAGATCCAACACTCTGTGCCTAATCTAGACAAAAAATGAAAGGATGTAGCTGCTAGATATTGATTTAGAATAACGTTTGTTTTGGCCCTAACCTGAAGTTCTTGTACAGCCAAAAGTTTTTCATTTAAGCAGCCCACAGAGCCGGGAGGGAAGTGGACTTACTTCAGAGAGCTTTTCCTTACAAAGTGGACAGTGTGGATTATGGTCCAGACAGCGTTCAAGGCATTTGAGGCAGAATGTATGTCCACAAGGAGTAGCAACAGGCTCATAAAATAACCTGCACAAGACATTGTGAATAATGAAAAACAATCGGTCACTTTACATTTCCAAGAAAGACTGTATGTGTCTGTATGTGTGTATGAAAGGAGAGAAAGAGAGAAACATATTGCAAGTGAAATATAAACAATTGCTCCTGAAGTATCAGAGGCAGTATCTCACACCCAATGCACATTCAGCTGCACAATTACCCTATTCTGGGTATGGGGCAGTTAATTTCTTAAGTTATATATGAGTGATACAACTGCCTAGTTTGGTTTTTAAACTGTGTTTGACCACATTTCTGTATCCTGGCTATTAAGTATCTTGTATGTTCTGCTTATCAACATGCTTTAAAAATAAAATAAATATAATTGGCTTATAATTATGTTATACCAGAGTCTGTAGATTTACGACATGAATATAAATACTTAATTTACAATTTTTACAGCAAAATTTTTTTATTGCTCTGTCCTTCCCTTCCCTACTTTAAAATGTCATTTAATGCTTTGCAAATTTATTTATCTGATTTCTAACCCGCCCCATTAGCTCTTCAAAGAAGTAAATTTACTCAGTAAAAATTTACTCAGTTTCTTGCGTCTAGGTAATACCTCATGCAGAGGGAACACTCAAAGTCAGATGCATCCACGAGGTTTGCAGGTATGGTTCTTAAGGGAAGGGAGGCAGATTTTTCACAAGTAGTTTCACCTTCTTAAAGAAAAAAAGGCAGAATGTTTATTCAAATAATTTGTTAAGAAGGAAATGTAAAACTGTTCATGTCTGAACTAAACTAGCAATTCCCAAAATATTTTAAAATTATGGACATACATCAGCTGGACTAATTCTATGAATTGGTACAGAACTATGTTTAAAGAATTAAAATATAGAGAAGTACAGGCTAAAAGAGGTGTTGGTAAATGGCAGCCCACAAGCAGAATCCAGCTGAAGAAAGTTTACCTGCTGATTTAGGGTGCTGAAATTAAAACCATGGCAAGACCACAAATCGGTTGTTTAAAACATCTGGAACTGCTGTCACCAGTTCCAGCAAAGTGGATGATTAATTATCATTTTTAGATTTGAAAAGCATACAAATGAATTAGAAGTATTCTAGAACAAATTTCGGCAATTGAATACTTTCGTGCATCTGAAGAAGTAGATTCTAGTGTATAAAGTCGGTGCAACAATAAATGTGTTAGTCTTTTAAGGTGCCACAAGACTGTTTTTGCTGCAACAGAATTTAGATATCCTTCTGAAAGTTGCATCAAATCTATTCTTCAGAGAAGAAACATGGGCCTGAACAACTTCAACAATCATTTACTTCTGTATTACAGAGACTGCAATTTATCACAATAATAAATCATTTCGTGCCCCCTGTTCTATAAATATATCATAAAATAATGCATATACATGCTCATATTCATTTAAATTTAAAGCTGTAACACGTCATACTCTTACCACTCTATAACAGAGCACAAAAGAGTCTCTTCTTGCATAAAATATAGTGTACAAATGTGAACAATCCAATTTAATTCTTCTTAGAATAGAAATTGCTGGACTGAATTTAGTGAAATATATCATATAACCACAAAAAGCAATGTGTTTCCTTGGAAAACAAGCAAAGAAAACCAAGATTAGGAAGCTCACTTTCAAAACAAACCTTTTCTAGGAATTTTGCTAGGGATTTCCAAGCTTTGTAAATCTCCAACATCATTGGAAAACTTCCTTTTCAAGCTTGCAGTGGGTAGACTGGAGAGGACTATTCCCAAAGTTTTTTTGTTATCTTCAAAATAGGAATCCATTATATGATGAGATACATCAGTCTCTTGGGATGGATTTTTTGTTAACCTCATGATGGTCTCCTGAAACAATCATGAAATGCATTTCAACATTTCCCTTCTATATTGATACTTCAAAGTTTGATTCAGGAATATTATATCAGCAGCATTTCCCTATGCTGGTTACATTAAACTGGACTACATGGATCATAGACTGAGTTCATACAATCATTATAGTCTGTCATGGCTTATTCAGGTGGTCAGCAACACATGCTGAGCTACTTTTTAATGTTCAGGCTGTAACTGTGATCTCCATATCATCTGAAGTGGATGAGGATGGGCTATTGCCACACCTACAAAACTGTGCAGAATCTATGGTGTTTTTAAGTTTACAGGTAGTTTATTATACAATTCACACTCACAAGGTTCAAATTACACAATAAGCCAAGGTCACAGCTTGAATATTTGAAATGACCACTCACTAGCAGCACAGCCCACCGTGGCTTAAATAAGAGAGAACTGGCAAACTCTAAATCTATAGAAACTACTCATACAGAGCTCTATATACTTAACTACAGGAATCTACCCTGTGTTCTGAGACTTTAAAAAAATTTTTTTTAAAGCTTGCAAGAACAGCAAGTCTTCAAGTGAAACTCTACGATATACAAAACATTTAAATATAGCTTTTTAAAAATAGCTACTTAATTCCAGTGGATTACAATTTCACATTTCAGTGAACATTTTTTTTCCTTTGTCTGCATCCCATTCTTAATGGGCTTCTCTTGGGAAGTCAGATTTTGGGCTTAATAGGCCTAGCACCAAACTAGGAATGCAATAAACTTCGGTGCACCCTATACTTCAAGCACTGGTGTAAAAAAATTTGGGGTGAGCTAGTTGCATTCGAATTTCCCATTTTTATTTTTAAGTATACACGTTCTAAGTATTACCTTTGAGTTCTCTGCAGCTGACCCATCTTCTCCAGAAACCTGTGTATTTATACTACTTAAAAATGCAGGTTTCAATCTTGTGTAAGAAGTCCGATTACAAAAAGGTGTTGTTAGACTATCATGCACATTTTCAAATGCTGGGAAAAACATCTCACACATTATCTAGAGAAAAGAAAACATAGATTTAGGAATACACACAATTCAGCTTATTTTATGTGAATAAATAAAGTAGTGTCCTTTCTCCTATCCCTTCAGTAATAATTTTAAAACCTTCTAGAAAGAAAGAAAAGGCCACTGAAAGTAGGGTAAGGACCTAACAGAAACCACACTAGCACCCAATCTCATGTTCCCTGCTTATTCTAGCATAGCAGGATGCACGTGCTTTTCTTGTTCTTCTGCCGATTTCCTACAATAAATTCCACATGCGCATGGAGGGTAGCTACTTCGGCGTTTCCTTCTCTGGTTAATCTGGGTTGCATGTGGTATCAAGGCTGCCAGCTGCTGACAACTAGTAAAAATAATGACTTACTAGTTGGCAAATCTAAACAACAGCAATGGTTTCATTAGAAATAATAAAGTTACTAGAGCTATTAAACCCCTATGCAAAGTACCACGAGCTGATCTCACAGAAAGACCCATCCCAATGGCAAAAATAGAATTTAACTAGTGTTTGGTGTTTGACATTACAACCATATGTTCATAGATTCTATGAAGCAAGTCAAGTTGGATAAAACTCAAGTCATTTAAAAACAAAAAGCAAAATAAAAACAGCTTTTTAAAAATTTGTTCTGAATTTTTAAATCAGCAATTTTTAAAAAATCAATAAATATGTCTTTCATTTGAAAATTAAGCTAGGAACAGTTCAATTTCATCACAACATGCTAAACCTCTCTGTCCATCAAACATAACCATTCAGTTCCATTTTTCCTCTTATGATAATGATTCTGTCCAGTATAACTACCAGCTCTTGCTTCTTGGAAGTTCTAAGCTTTCATTTTCAGTTCTCTGACTAAAGTCATATGTCCATTGAAACAGGATGGATAGGATTGTTGATTTCTGCTGAGGTGATGGAGGAACTGGGCCAAGCAAGACAGAAGAATTAGTTAAGACAGAAACGATCAAGGAAAAGAAGGGCAGAAGCAGAGCAGAAAGAAACACTGGTGTGAACTTGAAAGAAAAAGTACTGCAGTTGTGTGTGTGATTTAGTCCTTACCATTCCTAATGTACTGCTGCACTATCTGCAGCTTGACACAGCTAAAGAACATTATACACTATTTCATAAATTAATAAAAAATCAAGTTACCTCAAAGTGATATATGAACCGTACCTTCCCTTTATGTTCTAAAAATTCTATACTGAGTTAGAAATTGATATGACATGCAAAGAACTATCAGTGGCAAATGAGATTTCAAGCAATGATTTAAGTCCACAGATATTATTTCATTAGAGATGAAAGCCATGCACATATAGGCAGGTTGCTTACCTATAACTATCGTTCTTCGAGTGGTCATCTGTGCAGTCACACATAATGGGTGCTGCGCCTGCGCAGTGCCTGTTGCCGGGTAGAATACAAAAGCTTTAACGGATTTTGGCGGGAACTCTACACCCCACCCCAGCGGTGCTACATAGGGCGGAGCGCCCGCCATTTTCCTCCAATCTATGGAGACCGGCAGATCGCCCCCTAATGAGGAGTGTGGTTGACTGGAGGAGTCGCTAGGGATAGTCTACTGTCCCGTCCTCTGAAACCGAGTGGGGCTGGTGGGCGGGTTGTGTGACTGCACAGATGACCACTTGAAGAACGACAGTTACAGGTAAGCAACCTGCCTTTCTTCTTTGTGGTCTCTGTGTATCACACATAATGGGCAATTAGCAAGCTTACTGAGTCGTTGTCTTCAGAGGAGGGTTGAAGAGAGGATGGCCCATCCGAAGGAGCAGTCCCTGTATGGCCCAAATGTCTAGTCTGTAATGTCTGGTAAAGGTGCAAGGAGTCGTCCATGTGGCAGCCTTGCAAATGTCCGGTAGCAGAACGCCCGATGAAAAAGCCGAGGAAGCAGCCACGGCTCTGGTAGAGTGCCCCTTGAGGCAACGGGAAGGTCCAGTTTGGCTAACAGGTACACCACTTTGATAGTTTGAACGATCCATTTCGAAAGCCTCTGGGAGGAGATGGCAGCGCCCTTGTCGGGATTGGAGTATTTAACGAAGAGGCTTTTGGTCTTTCTAAAGCTCTCAGTGCGTGACCGATAAAAGGCCAGGCATTGGCACACATCAAGAGAGTGAAGGGATTTCTCTATCAGAGTGGAAGAGAACGCTGGCAGGACGACGTCCTGATTGACATGAAAAGCTGTAGCAACTTTAGGTAGGAACGCTGAGTTGGTTCATAGGACAACCTTTTCCTTATGGAAATTGAGGTAAGGTGGGTCTACGTGAAGGAGAGAGAGTTCACTCACCCTCCTCGCGGAAGTAATGGCGACGAGGAAGGCTACCTTCCACGATAGCAGTCTCAAGTCATTTGTCACCAAAGGTTCAAAGGGGGCTCTTGGATCCGACAGTAAAGCGGAGAAACCGCCTGTGATCTGGGTGGATGCTGATGAGGAAGTAAGTATCCATTAAATCTAGGGATGCGAACCAATCCTCTCTCTCTAGTAAGGGGAGGATATTTTGCAGGGTGGTCATGCAAAATTTTTTAATTGCAATGAAGGCATTGATGCCCCTTAGATCAAGTATGGGGCATAGACCACCATCCCGTTTCGGTACCACAAAGTATCTGGAATAGAAGCTGTGAAGCCCCTCGGAACGGGAGATTCGGCAAATCACTCCCTTACAGAGTAGCTGGAGTACCTCCTCTCTGAGGACCTCCGACAGAGTGGTGTAGCGTATTTGTCCCGAAGGAGGCACAGTGTTGAACTCAATCTTATATCCATTCTCAATGATGGAAAGTACCCATTTATCAGATATGATGGACTCCCATCCTGTCTTCTTTGTCTCTAGGGGTTGAGTGTTCTCTGTTGTCTCGCCCCTGGGAAGACTCGACCACAATCGAATTAGGTTTCGGGTGTCTCAAGAGGAATGGAATGTCTTGTTCCCAAACCTTATACATCGACTCATACCTCCTGGACATAGGGTGGGGCTGGCTAGGGAAAGCCCAAGTGTCCTTCATGGCCTCTCGAAGGGTGGTGATGATCGGGAGGTATATGGCAGAGTATTGTTCATTACGAATGATGTCGTAGAAGTTGTCTTTGTTGATGCTAGGTCGATGCTCGACCTCGAACTCCAAAGGACTGGGTAAGGCGGCTCATGAGTTCGCCGAACATGGCGTAGGATTCTTTAGGGGACCCAGGCCCCTGAGTGGAAATGACCGTGTCAGGAGATGTAGAGAAGCAGTCCAAGTCCTCCGAATCCAAATCGTAAAGGTATGGGGGGCTGGAGGAAGACTGGGCTGGAGATGGTGGAGGACAAGAAGTCACCGGTACCAAGGTGGAGGGCATTTCGGTCCCGGTTGGCCGAGATCGGTGCCTGCGCTCCAGTGGTATGGGATAATAATGAGAGCCAGTGTGGTGTAGTGGTTAAGAGCATGGGACTGGGACTCAGATGATCTGGGTTCTAGTCCCCGATCGGCCATGGAGCCAACTGGGTGACTTTGGGCCAGTCACAGACTCTCAGCCCAACCAACCTCACAGGGTGGTTGTTGTGGGGATAAGATGGAGGAGGAGAATGATGTAAGCTGCCTTGAGCCCTTTGTAGGAAAAAGACAGGATATAAATCGAAAAATAAATAAATAAAATAATAGCCATACAGAGGCGGATATCCCCAGTAGTAGGGCCAAGAAGGTTCGGGGCCTTCATAGGGCATCGGAACCCAGCTCCTGGTAGGTTGGCCTAAAGTGCAGTGATGGCAGTGGGGATCGGCCTGTGAGGGAGGCCTTGGAGATGCCTCGGGCAATGAAGGCATCGGTGTCGGAGAATGGGTCGACTGGTGGCTTGGCAGCGACCGCGGAGGAGAGTCTCGGATTTCCCTGTTGGACATCGATCCATGAACGATGGGTTCGGGGGGGATCCAGTGCTGCAGGAGCTGGAGATTCAACCCTCTGGGGGGATCCGGACAGCGTAACTTGCATCAGCGTCTGTGGTGTCGAAGGCATCGGGACCGACGGGGCTGTCTGGACCAATGGAGCGGTCGAACCAAAGTCTTGGCGCGGTTCCGGGGCAGGCCTATGATGTTTGCGGCTGGCCTTGTCAGTCTTGCCCTTCTTAGACTTCGAAACCGACAGATTCCCTTGGCCAGTGTGCTTCCTCTTCTCCTTCTGAGTGAGGAAGAATGGGAGGAGCAAGAGGTCTCCTTGGAAGCAGCTCCCTCAGACAGTGGATGAGGGGAGGTCACAATGGAAGGACCTGCCAGCGCAGCCTGGATGGCAAGCTCGTTAGAGGCTATCAAGGTCTGATCCCTAAGGATCTTCCTTAGTCGATTCTCCTGATTTTTCCGGGCTTGCTTGGTGAAAGCCTGGCAGTGTCCGCATTTATCAGAGCGGTGCCCCTCTCCCAGGCAGAGGAGACAGAGCTCATGCAGGTCCGTTGCCCGCATTTGGAGCACTTTCGAAAAGCCGCGCGCTGAGCCATCAGACAAAGGGATAGCAAAGATGAATAGTACAAAGGTAAGAAAGAGTTTTAAACTTTTTTTTAATTAGTAAGAAAAAAGGGAGTATTTAACTAGGGAGGTAAAGGTAATATTATTATTATTATTATTATTATTATTATTATTATTATTATTATTATAACATTTCTATGCCGCCCCTTGCCGAAACCTCGGGGCGGCTTACAACATGATAAAATACATTGAAATACAATAGTACATAATAAATTACCATTAAATATAACAATACAAAAAATACATTGATTTACAAATACAAAATTAAAATTATCAGTATAAAATAAAAATATAGGAGGAGAAAGAGAAGGAAGAAGAAGTTGCCCAGGCCAGATCATATGTTTTAACAATTGAAATGATGTTTAAATAAAAAGGTCTTTACCTGGCGCCGAAAAACCAGTAATGACGGTGCCAGGCGGACCTCTTCGGGGAGTGAATTCCATAGGTTGGGCGCCACCGCAGAGAAAGCCCTCCTCCGGGTACTTATTCTCCTAATTTCTTTCATGGAGGGTTCCCGGAGAAGGGACTCTCCCGCAGATCTCAAAGGGCGGTCGGGCATATACGGACGTAAGCGCTCGTTCAGGTAGCCAGGACCCAAGCCGTTTAGGGCTTTGTAGGTCATAATCAACACCTTGAATTGGGCCCGGGCTTCAATGGGAAGCCAGTGAAGCTGATGGAGGACTGGAGTCATGTGAGCATAACGCCCCGTCCCCGTCAGCAACCTGGCAGCTCTATTTTGCACCAATTGAAGTGTTCGGACTGTCTTCAGGGGAAGCCCCACGTAAAGCGCGTTACAGAAGTCTAGGCGGGAAGTCACCAGCGCGTGTGTCACCGTCGCCAGGCAGTCGTATTCCAGGTAGGGGCGCAGCTGATTAATCAGCCGAAGCTGAAGGAAGGCGTTCCTCGCTACCGCTGTCACCTGAGCTTCCAAAGAAAGCTCCGGGTCGAGGAGTACACCTAAGCTGCGGACCTTATCCCTAAGAGGGAGTGTTGCACCATTCAGGACCAGGTCAAATCCACCCTCTCCGAAACCCGATCCGCCAACCAACAGGACCTCCGTCTTGTCTGGGTTGAGTTTCAGTTTATTGGCCCTCATCCATTCCCTTACCTCGGCCAAGCACCGGTTCAGCACAGCCACTGCCTCATCTGGATTAGTGGAGAATGAGAGGTAAAGCTGGGTATCATCAGCGTATTGATGATTCCGCAGCCCACACCTCCTGATGACCTCTCCCAGCGGTTTCATATAGATGTTAAATAGCAGAGGGGATAGAATGGAGCCCTGTGGTACCCCATGGCATAGCTGCCATGACGTAGAGACATGGTCCCCCAGCACTACCTTCTGGAATCGACCGTCGAGATAGGAGCGGAACCACTGCAAAGCAGTGCCTCCAACCCCCAATCCCGCAAGTCTGTCCAGAAGGATACCATGGTCGATGGTATCGAAAGCCGCCGAGAGGTCCAGAAGAACCAACAGGGATGTACTCCCCCTGTCCTTCTCCCTGCACAGGTCGTCGTACAGGGCGACCAAGGCAGATTCAGTACTGTACCCGGGTCTGAAGCCGGACTGAAAAGGATCCAGATAATCAGTAATAAAACTTGGAATATCTCAACCGGGAAAAGGGAGAGAAAAAGGCGATCAAAGTAGAGCGAGAGATGAAAGGTAACGAACAGCTCGAGGCAGTGCAATTGGCGGTTGAAAGAAGACTGGGGAAAAATGGCGGGTGCTCTGCCCTATATAGCACTGCGGGGGAGGGGTGCGGAGTTCCCGCCAAAATCTGTTAAAGCTTTTGTATTCTACCCTGCAACAGGCACTGCACAGGCACAGCACCCATTGTGTGTGATGCACAGAGACCACGAAGAAGAACAAGATATATCACAATGTTCAGATATACACTTTATAAAATTAACCTACCTTTTGGGCTTCCATCTTCATTGAGCTCCATTCCGGATTTAAGGCAACACAATAAAGAAACTCCTTCAATGCTTCTTCAATCCTTCCTAATCCAGAAAGAGCTTGTGCTTTCACATAATGACCCTAGATGTATACATATAATAAAGTTAATACATCAAAATTTTTCAAGAACTATGGACTACGGTCCATTCACCAGTCAATGTACTGTTTCTTACAAGCATCCTTTCAAAATAAAGTTGAAACAGATATGAAAATTCAGACAATGGAAAATGAAATGCTAGAACATGCACCCTATAGTGTTTAACAATATAGGAAAGCTGTACGGAATTCATCTGAGTCATTCTCCCCAATTGGATGCCCTCCAGATACTCTGGACTACAACTCAGCATGGTGAATAAGAAGAGATGTTGAGAGCTAAGGTCTAAAACATTTGGAGGGCATTATGTCAGAAAGGCTGGTAAAGATTGATAGTTAACAAAGGACTGCGAAAGTCAAATACTGATTTTGTATAACCTTGAAATTTCGTAATGGAGAATCCTGGAAATACCTGTATGGTAACTTAAATTCTAAGTTCCATGTCATTTTTAGTAACCAAAATAGTTTACAACTAAGAGCAGCTGAGTATGGATATACAGCCATGCTTTCAAGGTCAAAATCCAACAGTCTACCAGACCACACTAATTCTAATACTAGGATGTATTATGTTATTACATATTTATTACAAGGCAGCTTACAAGGTTCTTTTCCATTTTATCCTCACTACAACCTTCTGAAGTAGGTTAGCCTGAGAGTCTGTGACTGGCCCAAAGTCACACAGTGAGCATTATGGCTAGGTGGGGATGGATCTTCTCAGTTCCAATCCAACATTCTAAACAGTATGCCACATTGATGAAGCAAACTATGGTTTATCCCTTAAGCTCCTTCTGGTAAGGCTGGGGGCTTGTGCTTTCATTTTAAGTGTTCGCAGTTTAGCATCACGTCTAAACTTTCCAAAACAATCTTAGTCCTAATGGTTTACTGAAACAAGCCAACATCAAGCCCCAGTTTATGAAGCTAACTACTTTCAATAAACCCTATAGTTAAGGCTAACTATAATTTGTTCAGGCTTAGACATAACATTATGCTGATGCTAAATTAAAACTAAAGCAAAAGCTTCCTTTTTTTCCTTGTGATTCCACCAGAACTCCAGGAAAGAGGAAAGCATATATACTTGTACATACTGAATTATCATTCACGTGAATTCTAAATCATAATTCAGCAGTACAACCAAGCAATGCCTTTGTGTGTACTTTGGTAAAACTGACCTAAACAATGTTCAGGCTAAGCAAAACAATATGGTAAATGCCCAAAGGAAACATACAGTGCCTGAAATGTATTATTCCAATACATCTTTCGTTTCTCATTTGTGTTAGAAACAATTCTAGCTGTTGTCACGTGCAAGCAAAATCTCTATGCCTAACTTTTCTTGATTTTTTTTTAGCAACTTGCAAACCACATACCTTAGGCCAATGGGGTTTATTTCGGCACAGCACTTCTGCATCATAAAGGGCTTGCTGATGATTCTTCATAGCTGTACAAAGTTCTGCCCGCTGTGCTATTAGCAAACATTTACAGGAAGCTGAAACACAAAGAATGAGAGAATATGTAGTGAGAATTAGTGGTTTGAAATGAATGGATAATGAAATGTTAATGAATTGCTGTTTGTAACTGAAAACTTCAAATAACACATTTTACACTTTTAAAAGTACACATTAGATGCACATTGAATGAAGCGAAACCACACTCCAATGTCTTTGTATATTTATGCAAACATCTAAAACCTAGCAACTTTCTACAAAGCATTATTTCTTTCTTATTTACAAACCAAATCGTTATACACACATCTCTAAAATACTGCAGATATCAATCCTTGTATTTTTAGAACTGCATAACGAACTGCCTGATCCTTCATGTTTCATTCCAGGTGGCTAATTTCTCAGCGATCTGTATAAGCCTTACAAACAGGATGACACTTGAGCATGTAATTTTATTATGACCCTTGGCTTTACAAAACTCATAAATAAGATTCCAGTAGCTGTTACGTTTATTAAGGCACAATCCCATACAAGCTTAGGATGAAAAAGGGCCCATGACTCCCAGCATGCTGGCACTTACAGTCCCTTTTTCTACCTAACCTTGTATACGATTGCAGTATTAATCTGCTGCACTACTTCATGCTTTACAATAAATTATGCAGAAATAGCAAGGGTGGCAGCAACAGTACTTCTGAAATCATTAAAATAATTAGGGAACTTTTATGCAAATATCAGGCCATCAGTCTAGTGTTCCTTTTCATATCTTTTATTACTATTTCTGCCATTACTATTATATTACTATTAGCATTATATAATACAGATTTCTATCAAGGTTTACGTAGCATAACGAATTTTCCCATAATGATATGTTAGTTCAAAATTACTAAGTTATTAATATTTTTATTAAGTTAAAAAAAGCAGGTTGCTTACCTGTAATTGATAAGTGGCCATCTGTGCAGTCACACATATGGGTGCTGCGCCTGCACAGTGCCTTTGGCCGGAAGATTACAAGCTAACGGTTTATTTTGGCGGGAAAAAGCTCCGCTCCCCCTCCCCCACAGCCTATAAAGAGCGGAGCGTCCGCCATTTTGTTCAGTCTTTGACGACTGAACGGACGCCCTCTTGTGGAAAAAATGACTTGTAAATGAGTTCTACGGTGAACAGTATCGGTACCGAGAGAACAATGAATATCGGTACCGAGAAACAATGATAACATTCAATAACGACAGACGTCCACTCACCGACACCGAGTGGGGCCGGCGGGTGGGTTGTGTGACTGCACAGATGGCCACTCGAAGAACATCAGTTACAGGTAAGCAACCTGCTTTTCTTTGTCGTGGCCTCTGTGCATCACACATATGGGTAGATTAACAAGCTTACCATAATGGAGGAGGGAAGGTGTCCTCAATGAACAGATGAAAGAATGGCTCTGCCGAAGGAACAATCTTGTCGAGCGCAGACGTCTAAGAGGTAATGTTTGGCGAAAGTGCAAGGATTTGCCCAAGTAGCAGCTCTACATACATCGTCCATCGGTATTCCCGATGCGAAGGCCAATGAGGTAGCCACAGCCCTAGTTGAATGGCCTCGAGGGGTAGTGGGCAAGTCGATATTGGCCAGTTGGTAAGACAGTGTGATGGTATGAACTATCCACTTAGAAAGTCTCTGCGGAGTGACAGGGGTACCATGGCCCCTGGTAGCATATTTAATGAAAAGTCTATGTGAACGTTGGATAGACTCAGTCCTGGATCTGTAGAATGCTAAACAGCATTGAACGTCAAGCGAATGTAATGTCCTTTCTAACGGAGTAGACGGAGCTGGAAAAAAGGCAGGTAAAATAATATCTTGCCCCATGTGAAAAGGTGTGGATACCTTAGGCAGAAAAGATGGATCGAGCAGCAGGACAACCTTTTCTCTATGAAAATTGAGATAAGGTGGGTCTACGCGCAAAGCACAGAGTTTGCTGGCCCTCCAGGCTGAGGTAACCGCAACTAGGAATGCTGTCTTCCATGAGACAAGACGTAAATCGACTGTGGCCAACGGTTCGAAAGGAGCTCTCGTAAGCGCTTGCAGAACAACAGAGAGACTCCAGGTGGGCATTACCGGTCTGATCGACGGATTCAGATTATAAAGTCCCTTCAAAAACCTTTTAATAGTAGGTTGGGAGAAAATGGACGAACCGTCCACCATACCCCGATGATAGGCGACGGCCGCCGTATATACTTTAATTGAAGATGGTTTCAGTCCAGAGTGGTGTAATTCCAGGAGGAACTGAAGTATTTGAGGAATTGACAATGTAAATGGAGAGAATGAATGAGAGTCAGCAAAGGCGGAGAAACGCTTCCATTTAGCTTCGTAAGACCTCCGTGTAGAAGGCTTTAAAGCGGAGTCCAATATGTATTGAATGTCCTGTTGAAAGGCTGTTGGATTCGATGGCACAGTAGTCGGATCCGACAGTGCTGGTGCAGTGCCGTCCCCAGCGGATTTGGAGGTTGCAACTGTATTGGGTTCAAAAGTAGAGTTCGAACCTTTTGAAGTAGTTGTCGGTGTAGATGTAACGAAGACAGTAGTGGATTCGAAGGTCCGATTTGAACCCCTTGGAGTAGTGACTGGTAGAGACGTAGTGAAGTCAGCTATCGGATTCGCCATGCTGTTAGTTTTAATATTATATCTGGGTGACGAAGCGCGCCGTCTTTCTGGGTTATCAAGAACAGGAGCGGTGGAAGATGTAGGTATTCCCCGTGAGAAATGTCCAGCAGTGTGGGAAACCAAAGTTGGCATGGCCACCAAGGAGTAATTAGTATCCCTGTGGCCCGATCGCAAACAATCTTCGCTATGACTCTCATCACCAGTGGAATCAGTGGGAAGGCGTAGAAATTCAGATTGTTCCATGGAATCATGAAGGCGTCCCCTAGGGATTCGTGTCCGATTCCCACTCTTGAGCAGAAAGTCGCACACACCTTGTTCTGTTGTGTGGCGAACAGTCCACGTCGGGGAACCCCCAGCGATGGAAAAGGTCGTCGCATGTCTGGGGGTCCAGTTCCCATTTGTGAGAGATGAGCATGAGCCTGCTGAGAAGATCTGCTTCCACGTTGTCCGTACCGGCCAGATGGACTGCTATTATCGTAACATCTCTCGAAATGCACCAGTCCCAGATCTGCATAGAAAGTCTGGCCCTGGTTGGAGACTTCGTCCCGCCTTGCTTGTTCAGATAAAAAATGGTGGCTATGTTGTCCGATGTTACCTGAACAACCCGATGTTGAAGAACATCTTCGAAAGAGCGTAGGGCTTTGAACATGGCCAACAATTCCAGGAAATTGATATGCTTCGTGGATTCTTGACGAGTCCACGTGCCTTGAGTATACAGGCTGGAGCATGTCGCTCCCCAACCTAGAAGAGATGCGTCGGTACCGACTGTAATCGATGGGCCTCGGGACCTGAAGGGGACCCCAACAGTCAGATTGGTCGGGTTCGACCACCATAGTAGCGAATGGAGGACCGAGGATGGGACTCGAAGGAATTTCGATGGTGGATCCCTCTGTGGGTGGAACACTTTGTTGAAAAACAGCTGCAACAGACGGAGTCGCAGTCTGGCGTGTGGCACCACTGCAATGGCGGAAGCCATATGTCCTAGAAGTCTCTGGATGGACTTCGCTGGAACCGATCTGTCTCGTCGCATTCGATGAACATGGCAAGCTAGAGTCAGTTGTCTGTCCCGAGGGAGGAACGCCTTTTCCAACGTCGAATCCAAGTGGGCTCCGATGAACGTAAGCTTCTGTACCAGAAGGAGAGATGATTTCTCAGTATTAATGCAAAGGCCTAGGTCGTCCAATAAGGCGCAGGTAATACATATAGAAGTGAGGAGTGCTTCCCTGGACCTGGAGACTAGGAGCCAGTCGTCCAGGTAAGGATAAACTTGTATGCCCTGGAGGTGTAGATAAGCACAGACAGGGGCCATGCATTTAGTAAACACCCTCGGAGTGGTAGCCAAACCGAAAGGTAGAACCATGAATTCATAGAAATTGGGGGCAACAGCAAAACGAAGGAAATGTCTATATCTGGGATGGATTGCAATATGAAAATAGGCGTCCTTCAAGTCCAATGAGGCGAACCAGTCCTCTTTCCTAAGCAGCGGCAAAATATTTTGGAGGGTGGTCATTCGAAACTTCCTCGTCACAATGAATCAATTCAGACCACCTAAGTCCAAAATCAGATGTAAGCCACCGTCCCATTTGGGAACGGTAAAGTATCTAGAATAGAATCCGTGATGCCCGTCATATTGAGTTACTTGACGAATCGCTCCTTTACGAAGAAGTTGTTGTATTTCATCGAGCAGTATTGGTGTGCAAGATGTAAACTGAATCAGACTCGATGGAGGAACGGTGTCGAATTCTATCCTATAGCTGTGCTGTACGATAGATAATACCCATCCATCAGATGTGATGGACTCCCAAATGGGGAGTCGGCTTCGCAGCCGGTCCCCAGATGAGAGGGGGGTGGGTATAGGATAGGGTAGAGGAATGGTTCACCAGTCCCGTCAACGCTGCCTCCTGTCATCATATCGGCGACGGCCCTGCTGCTGAGGCTGTTGCCTGGGATGATACGGCTGTCTGTAGGGCAAACGGTTCCATGGCCACTTACGCCTTGGAAGCGACTGGAGCGCCATTTGTCCGGCCATCATGCGGGACTCATGAAGCTTTTTAAGTTTATGGTCCATCTTTGAATGGAAAAGCCCGGACCCGTCGAAGGGCATTTCTTCGATGCGCCGCTTGGTCTCTTCGGGGAAGTTGGCGCTCCTCAGCCATGCATGCCTGCGAAGAGAAACGGCACCGACCAAAGCCCTCGAGTTAGTGTCCACATGGTGCCTGGCTGTGGACAACTGTTGCACCGCGACATGCATCGCCTCCTTAATCAAGACTTTGGCCAATTCGCCCTATTGGTCTGGGAGGGCCGAGACGACATTGTGGAGGCGTTGCATTATAAAATACTGGTATCTCGCCAACGTCGCCTCATAGTTTGAGATATGCAGCCCCAAGCCTGAAGCTGC